CTCCACAGCAGTACAATGGGCAAGGCGACATTGTAGCCACAGCTCATGGAATTATTTAAAAAAAAGCACGGGGACCTTTGATGAGTCAATGTCAGAACACAGAGGCAGACACAAAGACTTCCACCCCGCGCCGCCGCCGCCTGTTCTTATGCACGCAGCCGCCCTGTGGCGAGCTCCCCCGGGGCAAGCTGGTGGGGGGGGGGGCTCCCCACGGGTCCCCCCCCCCCGACCTTTAAAATGAACGCCCCTCCCTCTGGGCGTGCAGCAACAGCGCGGATTTCAAACGCAGAGCACGGAGCAGACCCCACCGGAACACCGGGATGCACGCCGGCTGCCTTGGCGCGCGTGCTGCGGCTGGAAGCGAGTTTTCCCGATGCAGCGCGCCGACTCGAATGTGTTTATGCTTCGCGTGGATCGTGTTTCGTTCCTGCTGTGGCTGCGTGGCGTCGTGGGTTGTGGGTGGTTGATGACGGGGATCTGTAACCCAGCCCAAGTGGCCTCGGAGGTGGCCTGGAGGTGGCAGTCGAGCAAATGGTGTTCATGACCCATTGTGTGCGTGGGCATTTTCTGGAGCCTTCACTGATTTCACACACGCATGCAAAGCACCAGACAATGCCGAATACATTTGCGAGGGTAACGATTCTTCGGCTTTTCTGGATAAAGTTATCCTCCTCCATCTACTCCGAACACACAAGGGTGATCTTTTTTATAGGCAACCCACTGATTTCTGGCGATTTCCTTTTCTGTCTTTTCAACATGCAATTGAATATCCGCATCTTACAGAGAAACACAAAAGGAAGGTGGTGACAGGTGGGGATTCATGCATCTACCACAAGACAAAGATCCCCCGTATAGCCTGGAACAGACTGTTGGGGCAAGTGCTGTTAGCGAGCACCTACGAAGGCTGGCACGGCACACGAGGGGGTAGATATCCAGCACCACGCCCGGCCGCATTTGTCTCCCCAGTGGCGATGTTTACACATCGCACCAGGTACTCATTTGAGGCCGAGTCGACCTAGGGGAGGCCCAGGTCTAGTTCAGATAATCGTCGCTGGTGTTGACCGCGAGCTAGAATCGAACCTGGGTTGCCAGGTTCGTAGCGCAGTGCACGTAATCGCGACACCACCGCTCCTGCACTATCACACGCGTGCACGGCTTCTATTCCCTTAGAGGTAAACGATTTCCAAATCGCATCGCAAATTCTGTGACGCGTGGTGAAAAAATAACGTGGATCCACGGTGAGACTCTGGCCACCCGGACCTAACAAACAACCATACCGCGATGGACCGACCGCTACGCCCGCTCGCCGGCGGAGACTGGACAATACCAGTCACGGCACCTCCAAAGGCATTATCGCGTGGCTTGCACGCATAATGTACACCGACAGTCCTTGCCATCGGGTAGAATTAGAATAAGAATTATGGGCGTTAAGAAAATCAGTGCGAGGGCTGTAAGATCTGAGGAGGCCATGCTGTATAACACAGTCTATAACGGTATCATTTCTCCTTATTGTTTTCGAGGGGTATCTATTAATGGATCACTCTCTATAATTAACAATAAATCTAATCTCATTGATTTAAGAGCCAGGGTTTAGTGGACCGTGCACACTGCGCTCGATTTAAAACCTCCTACATTCCATCCCTGATCACCACACACACACACGAGGAGCAAAAAGGCATCTGAACCTGCCCTTCTATAGTCTTCGTCAAGGGTCAACTTAGCCATAGATGAGTATCTGGTGCGATATGTAAATATCGGCACTGGGGAGACGAAGGTGGCCGAGCATGTCGGGTTCTGACCACACCACCACCCCAACACGTGCCATCTGTACCTGTTTTTGTATCGCGCGTCTCAACCCCCCCCCCCCCCCCCCCTTAGTCCTGATCGTGCTATCGGTGTCATGAGACACGGGAGTCCATTCGGAACTCTTGCACAACAATGCAATGCTTCCTGTAAAGAAGAAAAAAAACAGCCCACGGAAGTGGATGCCACAGATCTACTCCTCAGATCCCTTTCTCACCTGCCCTGCCGTTGAGAGTAATGTCGTCACATGATGGACAAACGTTTGAGTTTAAATCTCAGAGCAGGAATTTACCGAAATAACAGTGCAGCACCACATTCTATGCGATGGGTTTTTGTGTTGTACCTCCATTGGTGACCAGGCTGAGACCATCGATGCTCTACAAGTGAGAAGCCGTTTTAATCACAAGCAGCTGCCTGGATTCGAACCCAGGTATCAGTCGTGCCAGCTCAGTGCTCTAATCTCTAAGACACCTGACCACCTAAATAGGTGCTTGCCAACAACATCTGGTTCTGCAATCTACAGCGCTAAATGAGGGTATTTGTGTGTGGCTGTGTCATGGATTAGCGCAGCAATATATTCATTTTGGTTTGTGAAATAAATCACAGAACTTCGCATGGGCCTCCATGAGGTTAACTCAGTCAAAAATGAGTACCTGGTGTGATGTGGTCAGCATAAGTACTAGGAATACAAAGGTGGCTGTGCAATATGTGGTGTTAGCCACCGTACCATTTTGTTTGACGCGCTAGCCTTGATACGTGCTCGCTGAGAAGACGGTGGAAGAGTCTTGGGTATTCGTCTGGAGAGCACTGTAAGATGTGTACTGTTCCTTGCCCAGCCCTCTCGTGATTACAGGACTATATTGCCTTGCCATAACACTGCAGAGCGTTGCAATGACCTTTGGGTTTTGACGCTTTATGAAGGCGAGTTGTATCGTTTTGCAAACAACACGGACATCGCACCTCTTGGTCTGTCAATTCGATTGACTGAACTTTGTCCAGAAATGCTCACTCGTCTCACCACACAGAACAAGGCAGCCCATTATGTTTACAAATATTACATCAGTCTCTACATGACCGACAACCTTTAAGAAAAGGGCGGGATGGGAACGTTCGATAACCACATTCCAAATGAAGCATTTGCCATATAAAGGGAAGCAAAGTATCTCTCTTCAATTTAGAATTGAGGTGCACATTTCGAAGAGCAGACCTTGAGCGTGTTGAGTAAATTCCACATTCCCTGTAGTCGAGGCCAGTTTGTCCACAGTACAACCGACGTAGGCTTCACACCATGCATACCACACTGAGTAAACAGGCACCATCAAGGAAGCTTGTGAGCTAATTGTAATGACATTTCAATCAAAGAAAACTGCACACTATCTTGCTCGGGTCAATCTGATTACGCATGCACAATTGTGAAGTGAACTTGTTGTGCCTGCTTTTGTTTCTGAAATGTATTTTGAGTCCACCCTTGGATCCTTCTAATGAAATACATCCACGCGTGTGCAGGTGGAGCAAGAGGACTCCACTCAGCTAACCACCCCGGATGCCATGCAATGGCTGACAACAGGTACAAGTGAAGATGCACCCTTTGCATCGCTGTTCTAACGGGGATTTGGTCTTGGAAGCTGCCCCTACCCCCAATGACCCTACCCACCCCTACGGACCCCAATGACCCTACCCACCCCTACGGACCCCAATGACCCTACCCACCCCTACGGACCCCAATGACCCTACCCACCCCTACGGACCCCAATAACCCTACCCACCCCTACGGCCCCCACCTATGCCTATCCACGGCTGAGACCCCCCTCCTCCACCCTTCCACAATCCCACAACCAAAAAGAGAGAGGGCCTCAAGAAGAATGGTCGCGTCCTCAAAAGGAAAGGTGCGAAGCCAAAAGAGGAAGAGATGGGAACTAACAAGGAAGAGGTGGGGCCTAAGGAGTTAAGGAAGCAGGGATAAAGAGGTTACACTTCTCTGTTGAATTAAGGAGATACCAGCATAGACTACAATGTGTGCAGCAGCAGGCAGCGCATACCTTTAGTGCCGCAGATGCGGCTACAGGCCAACTCGTCGTACGGTATTGTGAGTGTAAGAGTTGCAAAGTCCAAAAATTGAACTCAGGTTCTGAGACGTGCTCGTGGAACGCCCTGACAGGACCCACTGGAAATCCATCCGCAGCCACAGCCTCGGCTAATTAAATGATTCCTCCTGCCACATGCATGGCTGCTTCTACACACGTCAAAAGCACAACTTTTTGGGAGTTAGCCCAAAAACTTTATAGTTAGCCACAAGCCTCTACAATGACCTTTTGCCCATAACAGTCTCTCCAGCTGTAAAGACAATTTTAATCTAGAGATTTTGGCAAACGTCCCTGCCAAATGTCACAAGTTACATTTTTACTGCAAAACTTGTTTTAGGCCACAGCGTTTGTGAATAGATGTTGCCCATAACAAGTGGCAGTGGGTTTTCAACAGGCATTGATTTAATAGACCACACTGTGCCGATGAGACTCGGTGACAAGAAACCATTCCAGGGTATTTAATGTTTAAACGCTACTCGCATACATTGATACTTAATGCTCATTGATCAACAGAGTAAGTGTTGTTTCACTGGTAGCAATTAAATTAAATCCACAAAAGGATGTCCTCTGGAGATACTAACCCTGGCCATGGGAATGTGCCATTTCCATCACTGGTGATTATCCAGAATTGTGCAGAAGTCTTCATGTTTCAAGCGTTATTATTGAAGATATTTAAAAAGCAACAATCTGGTCAACTCGGATTAAATATTAATGTTACTGCACTGTAAACAGATTGATTAAAAAAAATGTTTCTCAGCACTTCACACAAGATAAAAAAATATATTTACAAAGACGAGGGTGAAAATACTCGTAAAATAATAAAATTATACATACAAAGGAAATATAAATTAAACAATTAAATAATCACCAGGTGCCAGAATTAAATCTGGCGACTAATATAAATAGTGTCAGAAGCCTTGGTTTAAAAGTAGCAACTTTATGTAAGTCAGCAATGCTTATCCCTTGGATAAACATGCTTCTGACTAGAAATGAGGAATGTCCTCGTGTTTGCTAACACAGATGACCACAGAGTGACACTAATTTGAATAAAAAAAACACGTTTACAATGCAACTGTTCCACAAGCCTCATTACCACGATGGCCCTCTACGCACCTCTGGCAAATGCGGGCAGGGGTTGAAGCCGCAGAGGTTGCAGACCTGCGCTCGGCAGCCCGTACAGGTGCTGTAGTTCGCCGGCTCCTGCCCGCCGACGTTGAGCTCCTCTCCGCAGAGAGGACACGTGACCTTGGGCTTGGCTGGTGCAGGGGCAGCGACCACGGCAGCAGTGGCAGCAGCGGCAGGCGTCCCCGAAACCACCGCTCCCTGCCGCCCCATCTCATCCACCCTGCCCCTCGCATCTGTATTCCGGCCTTGTAGCCGCTGCCCCGAAACATCTGGCACTGCCTGCTGCTGCTGCTGCGGTTTCTGCTGCTGCTGTTTCTGCTGCAAGTCCGACAGCTGACCCAACGCCGCAGCAGCTGCCGAGGCCGGATGAGCGCCACGCGCTTCGTCCGCCGCCACCTGCCTGGGATCCCCGGGCGTCGCGGGCCTCCGCAGGGGTGAGCCCTGCTGGCTGGGCGGCTGGGACCCCCCGCGGCTGGGCGGCTGGGACCCCGGGCGGCTGGAGGGCTGAGAGCCCGGAGCGTTGACGGCACCCATGATGGTGGTCGCCTGGCTGAACAGATTGGCCCCGAAGCCGAACAGCTTTCCCGCCACACCGGCCTCGGATGATGACGACGATGGTGCCGATGGTGCCGATGGTGCTGCCGTTGCCTTGGTTTCGGGTGGCTGCCTCGGATCTGGAGGATGCGGGGAGGAGGATTTCCTATCCTGCTGCTGCTGTTGTTGATGCTGCTGCTTCTGCTGTTGATTCAACTGCTGCTGCTGTTGCTGCTGCTGTTGTACTTGCCGAGGGGCACGGTCGTGCGGTAGTTCCCGAGCCACATCGTGGACCCCGGGGCCGGGCGGAGCGCCGAGTGGCTGCTTTCTGGGTGATGGCGCAGCCTTCAAATCCACCTGCGGCTCAACGTCGGCCCTGCTCGCGGCGGGGAGCGTCGCCGGCTTATCCGCGGGAGTGGCGTGCGGCTGCCGCTTTTGCTGAGCGACGCTCTGGTGCTGGGGCTGGGGTTGCGTCTGGGGCTGGGGCCGGTGCTGCACATGGGCGTCCGTCTCGCTCGGCTGTTTGCGTGACTCGGGGACGGCGCTGGGCTGGCCCGCAGCGTGCGGCGGAGGTTCGCGGGCAGCGGCGGTCGGCTTCGCTCCGAGAGCCCTCTGCATCTGGCAGTTGAGGCACAGCCACTCGACCTGCACGCAGGGAGAGCGGCGACAACGCTTGCACGGTCACACACGCGGGCGCGTCGACGTGGGCGACCGTCAACGCCGCCTGCGTGTCTTCACGCTCAAACGGGCGCGGGAAGCGGTTTCCATCATCTCTAGTGACTCTGGACCAGTGGTGGAAATTCCACATTCCTCTGACAGGACAACATAGGAGATTGGTGACAGAAAGATGTGGCACTGTTTGAGCGTATTGGCACAAGACTGAGGAAAGTGGAAACAAATTACGAAATGTGCAGTGGACACCTACAGGGCGATCTGCCAATGGATCGTGATGACAATGATATACATTTGGAAAATTCCACATTCCGGTCATGTGAATGTGGAATTTCCACATTCCTCTGGCAGTGGTCAGTTTCAGCACGGTATCATTCCTCATTTTATCCATCTCAGAATGATGATGGGTGCCGACACCCGGACTGGTAACCTTCAAGTGCGTGCGTCAAAGTGTTCCAACCACGGTGCCATCTGGACAAGTTTATCGAAGCACAAGGTGGTGATGCTCATGGTAGAGCGATCGTGTACCGAACGGGAAATGTACACATTACACGGGCATATTGTCTTCGTGCACAAACGAGTATTGGCCAGTGGCAATCTCCGCTGGTAGCCCCGGGTCTAACGATGGAAATTCCAAACGTCTATGGAACGGGCGAGTGTATCCACATCACTACTTGTTAACTTGATACAGTATAAATCTATGAAACGCTGAGAGAACATAGCTTTCTGTACAAATGTACATACATCGAGCCTATAAATGCATTCATGAAAACTACTTTAATGAGAGTAAACAGTGGCTGTGCTATGGAGGACCCCGCCATAGGTTAACGGTGTTTTTCCACCACTAGTTGATGACCTTCCAAATGTATTCAGAGCCGTAAAGACACGTTAACTCCATACTAGATATATAAAACATAATTTCTGTAACAAGGCTGTTGATGTGGATGGTTTTGTATGTTTATCCATCAGTTTAATTGTTGATTGAGGCGGCATAATTGATGCAATCCTGCTAAATTTTACAAAGCAACCCCAAATGGCCATAACGTGACACATTGCAGGATCCTTAAATCGCAAATATGGGCACTGTAAAAGCAGGGACTTTCGTTAGCTCGTGTCTGAAGCGTCTATTAGATCACCAAATAAGGGAGGGGGTAAATCGCAAAAAAACACATAATAATTGGTCTATTATGTTCTCGGGTGTGCCGAAATTAAATTGGGTTTCCAATAAAGCGGTTGAGATAATTCTATATCTGATCAAAACCATTTGGTCAGTATTTTCACCCAAAATCTGCCAACCATTGTATTAAAAATACAGCACAGCCCCGCAGACCCACGTACATGCAATAATTTACACAATTTTAATACGAAGGTGAACTCTACATTCAGCTCAAAGTTAAGTTACTTAACTCGGTGAGAATCCATTGACATTCATTATCTCTTTTGTGTGGATGAACCGAATAATAGTAGACACGCAGATGCAGACACAGGCCTTGTTTTTCTATTCATCATCGTCGCCATCAGCCACTGTGTATCCACTGCTGCATGAAGGCCTTTTCAAGCCATCGCGTTACCTTCTGGTCCAGATTTGCTACAATCCACTTTACTCCGTGTCTGTATTCCCTCCTTTGGCTGCTATTTCATCACCAGTCTCGTCCACCGCATGTCTAGCGTTGAGTGCTGCGCAGGCCCAGTTCTTTTTCAAGTGAACGTGACATCCTCCGATTTGTCTGTGTTCCCTGAAACTATGCATTCAGTTATCGATCTCAATTCCAAGCACGCGTCTCTCTCCGTGATTTTTTGTTCACTTTTCAGCTTTTGTTCCATTGTCTTTGTCAGTGTCCGTTCCGAGTCATCGCTGACAATGTGCACCAATTGAAAACGTTCTTCTTCAGACACAATGGACTGCTCTTTTTAATTATTCTTCAACTTTCTAAACTCACTCCATCCTGCTCTTGTTCTCCTTTAATAGGCCTCGTATCCATACTAGGCACGACATCATTTTATCACTAAAAAGAGCGTTTGTCATGTGGTATATAACTATATATACTCGATATTTGAAAAAAGTAATTAATTGATTAACCAAATGTAATGTTTTATTCGTATTCATTGGTGGGCAGGCTGAGACCATCAACTAAATCATGGGTGGCTGAAATTCGGATTCAAATCCGCGATCTCAGCGGTACCAGGAGCCCTTTTTAAACGTTTGATTAAAACACTTTCCTTGCTGATACATTTAAAATGTTCTACTGATAGCGATTGCTTTTAAAAAGGCAAGAGTGTTAGAGTGTTCTACCCAACAACATTCCCATACCATTTGTTCGCTCAAATCGAACCAACGGAGCCTTATTTTCGTTTAAACCAATGGAGTCTTCCCCTAACCCTGTCAGGGGGAACAAAGTTAGTGTCCCTGGGAGCACAAATATCCAATGAATATTTGTACCAGGGAGACCAATATTCATTTACACTGGCTCATTGCTGTGACAGTCACTTTGTGGTTGTGTGGGTGTGTGTGTGTGGAGCTCTGGCATTATATCTCTCCATGTGGTTGCATGTATGTGTACCTGTGTTGCATCACACACACACACACGCGTATACACTGAGGGAAAAAAGTAATTGATGCCCTGCTGATTTTGTACGTTTGCCCACTGACAAAGAAATTATCAGTCTATAATTTTAATGGTAGGTTTATTTGAACAGTGAGATACAGAATAACAACAAAAAAAATCTAGAAAAACGCATGTCAAAAATGTTATCAATTGATTTGCATTTTAATGAGGGAAATAAGTAGTGACTGTGACAATTTATAACATTTTTGACATGCGTTTTTCTGGATTTTGTTGTTGTTACTCTGTCTCTCACTGTTCAAATAAACCTACCATTAAAATGATAGACTGCTCATTTCTTTGTCAGTGGAGCAAACGTACAAAATCAGCAGGGGATCAAATACCTTTTTCCCTCACTGTTCAGCCCCATGCATCAGCCCACTTCCCCGTGTACCTGTGACAGGTGTGGGTTGGGATTGAATCCGCACTGCTTGCACACCGTGGCTCGGCACTCCGTGCAGCTGTTGTAGTTGGGCGGCTCAGCCGAGTTCAGGTTCAGGGCCGAGGTGTTGCAAAGAGGGCACATCGTTACTTTTGGCGGGGCTGCCGAACCCCGGGTGGACGTGCCGTGGACGCTTTTAGGCCGAGACCTCTTCTCCTGGCCTTCGGCGGAGGCGGGGACGGCGGTAGCGGCCGCCCCGACACCTCGACCCCGCTGCTCTGAACGGGTTCCTGTGGCCTCCAGCCCACGCGCCGAGCCCTGCCGTTGCACCGCAGTGGAGTCGCGATGGGATCCCCGCCTAGACCCACGTTCTGCCTCCCCTCCACCACTGCTGCCCCCGCTGTGGTGGTGATCAGATGCAGAGGATGGCTGCCTCTGCAGGTTACGGCTCCGATGAACCCTACCTCCCTGCGCCTCCCCACCAGACACCTCCCCGGACTCCCCTTGCCTCGCACGAGAGGAGCGGCGCTCTCGGTTTTGGTGCCGACCCCGTTCGGCACCATCCCCCTGTAGGCTCTCCCCTTGTCTACTCCTGCCTGCATCTCCTTGAAATCCTTCTCCTTGCCTAGATCGGCCTTGGTCTCCTTGGAAACCTTCCCCTTGGCTAACTCGGCCTTGGTCTCCATGAAAGCCTTCGCCTTGGCTAACTCGGCCTTGGTCTCCTTCCCCTTGGCTGACTCGGCCTTGGTCTCCTTGAAAGCCTTCGCCTTGCCTAGCTCTGCCTTGGTCTCTTTGAAAGCCTTCCCCTTGCCTAACCCGCACTGGGTCTCCTTGTAAACTGTAGTCTCCTTGTGAAGTATCAGGTTTTCTGTAACACAGTAAAGAAACAAGTTTCCATATATATTATTGAACAACTTAGTCATTAAACACGATCTGTATGACAATGAGAATCATCACAACTTAGTATATGGAAATGATTTTGAAACTTAAGGCGAATGCACAGCAAGTAGTTGTATCAGATACTAAAACATATCAAATGGAAAAGGTCATCATGGTCAAACAGGCATTTAGAGATTAATTTCCCTTTGAGCCAGTGAATTTAATGTCATAAAATCCATAAAACAACAAACAATACATTGTCTATTTTTCTTCATCAGCACCTTATTGTCTAGTCTTTTGGGACTTCATTCCAGATGGTGTCATAACAATGAATAAGTCGTTATTTAACAACTTACATCTCTATTGCACCAAGATAGTGAAACAAGTCCCATGAGACTGAATGAGGTTTTCCTGAGTAAATCAAGAAGTACAGTATTGCATTTTGGGTTGCCACCGGTCACGATTTTTCCAGGATCGTCGTATCCTTGAGGTAGCAGAGTTCTGAGAAATCTATTCGGCTTCCAGGGACATTAAAGTCTCGGATTTTGTCTGTTCCATAATAATATGGCACTCAAAAAAATTATAATTGTCAAATAGTTCACATATCTTTCACTATTGTGAGATATCTCCATTTTATCACATCCATACCCCTATTATCTGTGACAGCTGCAGGGTCCGTGAAAACTCCTATTATTCGTGGCCCTATTCTTCCTATTATCCGTGACTTTTCCCATAAGTCTTAATGGAATGGCATGGGTTATGACAGTCGTCACGTGGCATATTAATCTTATCATCCATGGGTTATCGACGTGTTTACCACACGGATAATAGGAGTAAATTAACGGATAATAGGATCCACGATATGGATCTCCTATAAACGGATTTGTCAGTGCTAAACTACTCTCAACTGCCACCCGACCATTGATTATATATCGATCCTGATTTCTTATAACACCAGGCCCTGTCTATTGACCCTTATGCAACTTTACATAAAACTAAAATCAAGCCACTCAATATGAAGCAATGCACCGGACTACTGATCACAAAAAACTCACCTAGCATACACGATATATGCCGCACAACCATTCCCCATCATTGGATCCCATCCAAAAACCCCAATGTGTCACGCTACACAATGTATGCACTATTTCATTAAGCACTGTATTCCACATGTACTCATTATTCACTGATGTAACATGCTGGTGGTGTAATGGTTTGCACGATGGAATTGTAATCCTGGGGTCACCAGATAATTTTCCTGGTGCGGCAGTTGAAACAGCGGTGCAAGTTGCTTGAATTTCCCCTCGCCTCTGTCCACCCGTTGGTTTAGATGAGTAACAACCACAGTTAGTTGATTGGCAGGTCGACTATGGTGGGGTAAATTTTGGGTACCCCCCTACCTCTTTATAAAGACATTCGGCGAGTGTGGAAGAGGAGACCAAGTACGCTCTATAGGGGCTCTCTGGAGACCCTTTCGCCAGCAGTGGCATGAGCAAGCAAGTCGGGGCTGCACGATTATCTGTTTTACCTTTACAATAAACATGTACATTTTAAGAATAGGTTTGTCCCCTTTTTTTCTGGCAAAAAAACAGGTGTTACGTTTTGATTTAAAGCTTTCGTGACTGCAGTAATTCATATTCTTAGTTTTTTCGGTAAAGTCACGTTGAAGAGAAACAACAAAATAACAAAATATATATAAAACAATAAAAAATTCTCACGACGTTTCGACCATAACTCAAACGGTCATCATCAGTTATGGTCGAAACGTCGTGAGAATTTTTTATTGTTTTATATATATTTTGTTATTTTGTTGTTTCTCTTCAACGTGACTTTACCGAAAAAACTAAGAATAGGTGTTACGTTGTTAAAACACCAAACTGAAACCTTTTACAAGGAATCATGTCTGCATTAACCACAATACTTGTGGTCAAAATGCAAACAAAAAACATACTCTGATAATATATGTGGCATTGTCTTTTAAACTGATTGGTCCACACCAGAGACAGCTTTCTTTTGAGCCTCGTCTCAAACGGTGTTAGACCAGAGGACGCCAAAAGTATTGTGGTTAATGCAGACATGATTCCTTGTAAAAGGTTTCAGTTTGGTGTTTTAACAACTTAACACCGGTTTTGTTGCCAGATAAAAGGGGGAAAACCTATTCTCATATTTTGGTACTGGCAAAGGAGGTCTCATGATGTAAGTTTTAATTAAATGAAAATTTGTGAATGACCTAAATTTCCACTGCAGTAATGCTATATATTATAAGTAATAAAACCACACGTACTTGTTGCAACACATGCAAACATTCATGCTTTGATCAAATATGCATTGTCTTTGAAACGGATTGGCCTACACCAGAGACAGCCTTCTTGATGGCCTAGTCTCGTCAGTATCAAACCAGACAACGCCAAAAGGCAGACAGTGCTGTTCACCTTTTGGCGTTCTCTGCAGATTTGATGCCTTGCAAAAACGTGTCTATTTGGTATTTTAACATCTTAACACCTGTTTCATTGCCAATACCTATTCTTATTTTTCATACTTCGATACTGGGGGAAAAAGGTCCCATAGATAATAAACCTATAAATAGATTATTCCACCACTGTCTAGAATAGCGATGCTCAATATTAATTATGGCACGTTAGAAATGTCTCCCCCTCACCCCCATAATGTATTTATTTTTGTAGCGACTTTGTAAGTTGCCTTTGTTTATAAAGTCCCTTATTTGCTGTCGGTTTCCTGTATTTACACGGACGATCAATTTTGGTTGTGGCCAGACGTTGGGGCTCGCGAGTCGCAAATGAGAGACGGCACGAGGCGCCTCGATAATGGAGGCCTGATGCAGACCCGCTCGGTGTGACGTCCATGTCCTTGCGTTTTACAGCTATTCAAGATAAACGTTTTGCCATCGATCTGGAGCCCCTCCGTCTCATCATTTCCAACGTGCCAACATAATAATCTAATTATAAAAACCATCATCAGCAGCAGCCATCATATTCCTCACTCCATCGCCCATCCCTCAGCTGCCCTGCGATGATGTCACAATCCATCTCACTCCTGCGCACAAAGCGATCTCATCGCTGCACCGCCATGGTGTGGACCCACAGTCCCGTACGATGTAAGGTCTCTCGCGACAGGCAAATACCATCCCTTCACACGCCAAACTACAAGTGGCAACCGCAGTGGGCGAGAGAAGCTCTCCACTCACGCATCGGTCTGCGCAGGACTCCAGACCGCCAGCAGCGTCACCTTCGCACACGAAGGGCAATGCCATCGACAAGAGCGACAGGTTCCAGGCACCCTGTCACACCCAGCTGCCATTGCATTGCCGGCATTGTTTACACATCAACCTTCTAGTGACAGTCACTACATCATCAGTCTCTTCTAGTGACAGTCACTACATCATCAGTCTCTTCTAGTCACAGTCACTACATCATCAGTCTCTTCTAGTGACAGTCACTACATCATCAGTCTCTTATAGTGACAGTCACTACATCATCAGTCTCTTATAGTCACAGTCACTACATCATCAGTCTCTTCTAGTCACAGTCACTACATCATCAGTCTCTTCTAGTGACAGTCACTACATCATCAGTCTCTTATAGTGACAGTCACTACATCATCAGTCTCTTCTAGTGACAGTCACTACATCATCAGTCTCTTATAGTGACAGTCACTACATCATCAGTCTCTTATAGTGACAGTCACTACATCATCAGTCTCTTATAGTCACAGTCACTACACCATCAGTCTCTTATAGTCACAGTCACTACATCATCAGTCTCTTATAGTGACAGTCACTACATCATCAGTCTCTTCTATTCACAGTCACTACATCATCAGTCTCTTATAGTGACAGTCACTACATCATCCGTCTCTTATAGTCACAGTCACTACATCATCAGTCTCTTCTAGTGACAGTCACTACATCATCAGTCTTTTCTAGTGACAGTCACTACATCATCAGTCTCTTCTAGTGACAGTCACTACACCATCAGTCTCTTATAGTCACAGTCACTACATCATCAGTCTCTTATAGTGACAGTCACTACATCATCAGTCTCTTCTAGTCACAGTCACTACATCATCAGTCTCTTCTAGTAACAGTCACTACATCATCAGTCTCTTATAGTGACAGTCACTACATCATCAGTCTCTTCTAGTCACAGTCACTACATCATCAGTCTCTTATAGTGACAGTCACTACATCATCAGTCTCTTATAGTCACAGTCACTACATCATCAGTCTCTTCTAGTCACAGTCACTACATCATCAGTCTCTTATAGTCACAGTCACTACATCATCAGTCTCTTCTAGTGACAGTCACTACATCATCAGTCTCTCATAGTGACAGTCACTACATCATCAGTCTCTTATAGTCACAGTCACTACATCATCAGTCTCTTCTAGTGACAGTCACTACATCATCAGTCTCTTCTAGTGACAGTCACTACATCATCAGTCTCTTCTAGTCACAGTCACTACATCATCAGTCTCTTATAGTGACAGTCACTACATCATCAGTCTCTTATAGTGACAGTCACTACATCATCAGTCTCTTATAGTCACAGTCACTACATCATCAGTCTCTTCTAGTGACAGTCACTACATCATCAGTCTCTTATAGTCACAGTCACTACATCATCAGTCTCTTATAGTCACAGTCACTACATCATCAGTCTCTTCTATTCACAGTCACTACATCATCAGTCTCTTCTAGTGACAGTCACTACATCATCAGTCTCTTATAGTCACAGTCACTACATCATCAGTCTCTTATAGTCACAGTCACTACATCATCAGTCTCTTATAGTCACAGTCACTACATCATCAGTCTCTTCTATTCACAGTCACTACATCATCAGTCTCTTATAGTCACAATCACTACATCATCAGTCTCTTATAGTGACAGTCACTACATCATCAGTCTCTTATAGTCACAATCACTACATCATCAGTCTCTTATAGTGACAGTCACTACATCATCAGTC